CGCAAAGTAAATCTTGATCAAAACATTATACAACCAAAATGTTCGAAGAAAAATTACATCGAGGAACTGATGGCTAATGTGACCCTAATGTTACTACCATGCACACCTTCCTTGCATCAACTACTGGATCTTCTCCACGAATGGAAACTTCTTGACGAAAACCACACAAACCACTGGAAACTTCTGTTCTTTATGTTCTCTCTTGATGCTTAGTAGACTTATGAAGATTAAAACATTGATATCTTACTCCGGCTTGATGGAACCTCGTTTTTGAGGCTTTAGAACCGTCAAATACTTGTCGACACCGCGAACATCGAGATTTACTCAACAAATGATCGGTTGAGAGAAACTAAACATATCTCGACGTAGATCTGATCTTGAGCTCGAATGAAGAAAACTGGGAAAGTTGCTTAACCGTTACATTTACCATCGACCATGGAAAGCAGTAGATCTGACAGTTGAAAGCCTTGAGAAGAAAGCCAACATGATACAGACAGAGGCCACTGGAAGTCAAGGGATATACAAAGTAAATACGGCCTTGGAACAGAGTAGCGAGACCCACAAAAACATAACAAAACCAGAGAAGATGAGAGGCAATTGCATCGGAGACGCACCGTTGACCCAAGGGGACCGGCGCCAATCCTTACATGCAACCTAGCTTACGATGGTCGCCGTAGAAAACATCTAAACCACCCACTTTGCTTGAATATCAAATACCGACGCCGGCGCTAGAAGAGCCACCGGTGTCGCTAGGAACACATACCCACAGTGGCTTAAGTCTAGGGTTTTTCTAAAGATTTATATTGCATTGATTTTTTTTTTTACTTTGGTTGTTTTAAGAAGAAGATTTTGATTACTTCTCAAAGTTTTGATAGCTAATTTTACTTTTTCTTCTAATATGGCGGGCTTAGATAGATATGAAAATTTATGGAGTGTTGGCGGTCTGTATAATTTGTCCATTGAATACACATATATTGTTTTAACGCTTTTTTATTGAATTTGATTAAGAACATATTACATCAATGAAGAAGTTCAATATATGTATTACAAAGAGAAACTAATTGTCCTTTCCGCACTAGAATCAAGTGAGGACAATAATCATTGACGAAACATCAGTGATACCAAGATGATTTTGTTTCGAATCGAAGGTAGACGATTAGGTGTTCCCGAATCCACAATAGCAGCCGGACTTCCAATATTTATTACGATAACATGATAACAATTCTCTTAATTTAGATAATCTCATTCCATGATTGCCTTTGTCAATTTTGTTCCGAATTAGCTTTAGTGAAGCCACCGTTGAACAACTTTGAACTGCAAAACTCAAATCAAATAGATAGCCAGAATTGACTATGACTAATATGTAAAGCAAACAATAGATCTTGTATCGAGGGAAAAACTTCAACTAAAAAACTTCATCTAGAAAAATTTAACCCAATGAAGGGAATCACAAACTAAACCCAATGAAAGAATCATAAACTAGACCCATAAAAATCAGACGGCGAATAACTTCGCATCGTTTTCTAACCAAAAATCCTCATGGACATCCTTTACACTTCATCTCAAGCGTAAAAACTCTATTAGTTTACACCTATCTCCCTCTCACGAAACCGGTAAAAGCACCAACATCGGAGAGGGAGAAAACTCAAATCACTTTTTTTTTTCTCTTTCTCTTTCAATAAACATATATATTTAAAATTAAAATTTTGTCCATATGATTCAATAAAATTTGTATTCCCAATTTCCAGCAATTGTCATATATTTCAGATAGTGAACACTTAAACTGCGAAGTTTTGAAAATTAATAAAAAAAAGAGTGAACTTTTTTGTTTTTATCATATTAAAAACCCTACTTTGAAATACATAGAAAGAGATATTTCCCGGCATTCAACAAGTAAAATACTAAAGCCATAGTCTCGCCACAAGAGAACCACAATCCCGCAGCAGAAGAACCATTTTTCTGCAACATGAAAAACAAAGTTGAAAGCAAAAAACAATACAATCGAAAGACCAAACAGAGTCAAAACTTTATTTTTTTTTAACCAAATCAAAATTTTTTTTTCTACTAATTAAAAGTTTGAAAAGTATTTCTTTTAACTGATTAAAAAATATAAATGATTTTAGAGACCATATTTTGCAAAAGTTCAAATTACCTAAATTTCGATTAGGCATTCTACATGATAGGTTGCTAGTTAACCTTTAGCGGTTCTTTTAAGTAACATTGGTTATGTTTGGGTTTAAACAAAAAAAACATTGGTTATGTTTGTTCTTTTAATGCCTCAAGTGGATTATATTTTTTTTCAATTCTCTTCTTTTTTTTGTTAGTAGCTCAGTGGGCAATTGGGCACAGTATCTTATTAAGCACCATGCTAGTTCTAGCTGTCAAAGATTCTGTTTCAATGTACTAATCTTCAATTGGAGAGAAACAATATTCTATTTCACTTCTTTTGAAAAAAGTGTCACTCCAAAAATAATATGCTATAGTGACGGATTAATCTATTTTCCATTAACAAAACAACCTAGAGTTGTCTCTGTTTTCAGTTTTCATCGCTGTTGATAAAAAAAACAGCAGGTTGGATCGGCATTTCAAACTTTTTATTAATACAAGTTAAATCCTCAAAATCTCTTCTAAGTTTACAAGCTTTGTTTGCTAAATTTTGTAAGGGTAATTATATACAGTTATAGTGATACACATGATGAGATCGTTTTCCCTTGGAAATGACAGCGTAATTCAACATAATTTCGAAGAAATTTTGTTTCATGCTCATAAATTTAATTTTGTAAAACTAGTTACATTGATTATTCAGTTAGCCAGTTATTTTGTTTAGATCTGAAAACATAGTTTTGAAAGATGCATCCAAACAAAAACACATATATCTTCGAAGGAGAGACTTGTAATTAAAGACAGCAGAAAACAACCATTGAGCGGAAAATAAAAACTAAACAATAAGTTTTCTTGAAAATTTTAATTTAGAAGTTTAAACAAAACAAAAATTAATCTAGAGAAAAAGTTGTGGCTGCGCTAGGGATCAACATACATTCATGGATTGATTCTTGGACATATATAAATTGATAACTAACACTAATGTCGTTATGTTCTTGAATATATTTGAATAATGTTAGAAAATCTCAGTAACGTGGACGGTCTCGTCTATGGTGTGCGTTAATACCATACGACATATTAAGTTTAATTAAGGATTGTTTATTATATTTTGAAAAGTTATAGTAAGGGTATAATTTATTGAGAGGAGTTATTTGGAGTTTTTCCTGTACCATTCGAGTGTACTACAGAGACTACTACAAGAAGTAATATAGAAGCTGAGTTGTGTGATTTGTGGAGAGGAGCTCGTGTATTGATATTCACAAGCGTGGATTGGGTTAGAAAAAAGAAAAAGATATTTATTTGGAGGAAAGGAGAAAGATATTCCAAGAATATATTTGAAGAGAAAAATAAGGAAAGGATAATTACAAGGAAGAAAAGTGTCTTAGGGTTTTAGAAAGGTTCTCTATATGCATATATATAGAGGCACGGTGGTTGGAGGCTCTCGACGCCTCTTAGAAGAAAGGGATAAAGAGATTAATTGAGAGGAGAAGGCGTCT